GAATTAATTCCTTCCTTCCCGCGACTCCTTCGACCATTCGCGCACATTTTATGGTCCTTCGAGCCGGATCTGCTTGACCGGTATTCGTGAATTGTGTGAGTGAGGATCCTGGTGAGCTTCTCGCGCTTCGAGTGACCGCCGGGTAGAAGACATGAGTCACGAAGTAGAGGGAATCGTCCGCTCCCAAAACGAGCTGTACGGCCGCATTTCGCGCGCGTACGAAAACTTCAAGAAGTCGGGGCCGACGAAGATCACGTTGGGGCTGGCCGAAGCGCGCCTTCAAGCTCTAGAAGCGAACTGGGCGAAATTCGAAGCGCAAAATGACCAATTGCTCCAACAATCGCAGGAGGCTCTCGATAAGCTCGACTACCAGAAGCAAGACTTGCCGGGGGTAGCCGAGGAAGCCTTCCTGCAGCAGAAAGGAGCGTTCTTAGACGCCATCCGCATCCTGAAGGCCAAGGAGAAGAGCACCGCCGAGGCCGCCGGAGCGGCCGGCACAGCGGAGTCGACTCCCCGCACTACTCTGCCTCGTATACAGCTGCCGCATTTCTCTGGAAAGTACGAAGATTGGCCTTCATTCCGCGACTTGTTCCTGTCCATTATCGCGAAGGACTCAGAGACGACGAAGGTGGAGAAACTCCATTATTTGAAGTCCTGCTTGAAAGGTGAGGCTGACCTTCTTATTCGCAATGTGCCAACGACGGGCGAAAATTACGAGCGCGCGTAGAAAACTCTGAGTGCGTATTACGAAAATAAGCGATTACTAGTGCGCGCGTATCTCGCTAATTTCATCGCCTTACCGAAGATGAAGAGCGAGTCGGCCGTCGAGTTGCGTAAGATCTTCCATAGCATAAAAGCCACGGTCAGCTCATTAGACAGTATCGGTCGGGCGATTAGCCGCAGCGAGGATCTATTCGTCTATCTCGCTGTCGAACTCTTAGATCCGCAATCGCGTCGCGAGTGGGAAAATTCCATAAGTGCCGCGAGCGAGCCTCCGTCGTATGTATTGCTCGAACAATTCCTCGATCGCCGGTTACATACGTTGGAGTCGATGCTCCCCGTAAAAGCCGATGGTGCCGCGAACAAGGCGAGCGACGGAACGCAGAAATCGACGCGGAATCACCTCGCTCGAAAGCAGGATGGCAAGGGTGAAGCAAAGCGTGGCCGTTGCTCTCTCTGCCAGAAAGAGCACATACTCATGTTCTGCGACGACTACAAGAGAAAGACGGCCGTCGAGCGGAAGCAATACGTCGACGATAACGGGTTGTGCGTGAATTGCCTCGGGAAGCACAAATTAGATGACTGCGCCGGGAAGAAAAACTGTTACGCGTGTGGGGCGCGCCATCATTCGTCTCTCCACGACGCGTGTCGCGAGCTCGGGGTCGCGAAGACGTCGCACGTAGCAACGGATTCGCCCGTCAAGTCTGTGGCGGTGCTTCTTGCCACCGCTCGCGTCCGCGTAGCCGATCGCCACGGTGCCTGGCACACCGCGCGAGCCTTGATAGACCAAGGCTCGGAATCGTCGATGATTTCGGAGCGACTCGCGCAACAATTGAGACTGCCTCGCGTTCCGGTCGCGGTGAACGTCTTCGGAATCGGCGGGTTGCAATCGGGAGTAGCCCGAGGTCGAGTTGCGATGACGCTGTCCTCGCGGAGCAAGGGACGGGCGTTTACCGTGTCCGCTCTCGTGTTCCCGCGGCTCACCGTGTATGCCGGTGGCATCGAAGCCGGAGCGGCTACTTGGCCGCACCTTCGCGGACTAGAATTAGCGGATCCAGAATTTTGCTCTTCAGATCCGATCGATGTACTCCTCGGCGCCGACATTTACGCGTCGATACTCCGTGCGGGGCTCCGGAGGGGAGGACCTCGCGAACCGGTCGCCCAGAACACGACGTTGGGGTGGATCCTCTCGGGAGTGATCGCTGATTCCGTTTCCGGACACGTCGCGTACACTCACCAATGCCGGATCGAGGAAGATCTGGTGAGCGTGGTGCGCCGGTTTTGGGAGCAGGAGGAAGTTCCGTCGAGCGCAGTGGCTCTCACGAAGGAGGAAGCTGAGTGCGAGGAACATTTCGTCCGGACGCATTCGCGACGGCCCGATGGACGCTATGTGGTGCGCCTTCCTCTCATCTCGCCGTTGCCGGACCTCTCCGAAACGCGTCGCGTAGCTGAGCGAGTGCTTCGAAGCATGGAGAGTCGGTTCGCGCGGGATGCCGACCTCCAGGCCGCGTACGTGGATTTCATGAAGCAGTATGCCGAGCTGGGGCATATGGTGCCAGTCCGCGGCGACGACTTGATTAGCGCTCGCGTGTGTTACTTGCCGCATCACGGCGTTCTGCGGGAGACGAGCTCTACGACCAAGCTGAGAGTAGTCTTCAATGGCTCAGCTACAGTCCCGTCCGGGGACTCATTGAATCAGCGCCTGATGGTCGGACCCAACCTGTTGCCTGCGCTGACGGACGTTCTTCTACGATGGCGCCGCCATCGATTCGTCTTCGCCACGGACATCGAGAAGATGTACCGGCAGATTGACGTCCATCAGGAGGATGTGGACTTGCTGCGGATTCTCTGGCGGTTCGATCCACGAGAGCCTATACTAGAGTATTGGCTCACCACTGTTACGTACGGTCTGGCCTGCTCTCCACACCAAGCAATTCGTACGATGCACCAGCTTGCCAAGGATGAGAAGCATCGATTTCCGGAGGGAGCAAGCGTCCTGGAGGAGGACACCTACATGGACGACGTGATCTCCGGAGCGAAAACGCTGGCTGCCGCTTTAGAGAAACGGAGACAGTTGGAGCGGATCTGCATGGCGGGCGGCTTCCCGCTGAAAAAGTGGTCCGCCAATGACGAGACTCTCCTGGAGGACGTGCCGGTGGAGGATCGTTTACTGAAGGAGCCTCGAGGATGGCAGCCGGGTGAGAGCCATCTGACCTTGGGCCTGCGGTGGCATCCGCACGACGATCAATTCTCGTATACGACCCAGCTGATCCGGACAGAAACGTTCACAAAACGAACGGTCCTCTCGCTAACAGCAAGACTATTCGACCCACTGGGGTGGCTCGCCCCGGCCACGGTGCGCGCGAAGATCCTTTTCCAGTCCACGTGGTTGCTGGGGATTGAGTGGGACGAGCCGCTCCCGGAAAAAGATGTGCAAAACTGGAGAGCATTCCAGTCTGATCTGCCCTCCCTGGAAGCCATCCGCGTTCCGCGCTGGCTGACGAGCGGAGACGAGGGCTGCCGGCTGGAGCTCCATGGCTTTGCTGACGCCTCGGAGCGAGCCTATGCCGCCGTCATCTATTTGCGAGTCGAGAGAGGAGACGGAGAAGTGGAAGTGAGGCTGCTCGAGGCAAAAACGAAGGTTGCACCGCTGAAACAGGTGACCTTGCCGCGCTTGGAGCTGAGCGCCGCGACCTTGCTTGTGCGACTAATGGCTCACGTTCAGCGAGTCCTCGAAACGAGGAATGTCCCCTCGCATCTGTGGTCGGACGCCAAGGTTGTGCTGGGCTGGATCCGCGGACATCCATCGGCCTGGAAAACCTATGTAGCCAATAGGGTAAGCGAAATCCAAACGACGCTGCCTGACGCAATCTGGCACCACGTTCCCGGGCAAGAGAACCCCGCCGATTGCGCTTCGCGCGGCATATCCTCAGCAGAGCTGGTAAACCACCCGCTCTGGTGGCGCGGCCCATCATGGCTAAGGACCGAATCCGGCCCGTGGACCGCCCTTCCGGAAACCGAGCTTCCTGCTAGCCTGCCGGATCGGCGAACGGCTGTGCACGCAACGGCCACGCCCACGGAGAAGATCGACGAGCCCTCAGAGTTGACGGGATGTTCCTCCCTGACATGACTGTTACGACGGACGGCCTGGTGCCGTCGCTGGCTGCGGCGATTGCCCCGGCAGAGGACCGTCGCTGACTCTCAAATCGATTTCGAAGCCCCGCTCGTACTCCGGTTTTCCGAGCTCGATGACGCCTGGCGTGGCTGGATCCGAGTGGTGCAAGAAGCAGCATTTAGCGGGGAGCTGAGAGCGATTTCAAAGGGCGAGCAGCTGCCGGCACGCAGTAGCCTCGCTAAGCTAAACCCGCTTCGAGACGAGCAAGGGATCCTGCGAGTGGGTGGGCGACTCCGGCACGCCCTCCTAGCTCCCGACGCAAAGCACCCGATGATCCTGCCGAGTGAGTCACATTTCACGCGGCTCGTCATCGATGCTCACCATCGACGGACGCTGCACGGAGGTGTGCAAATGACGCTGAGTTCCATCCGGCAGGAGTTTTGGATACCCCGAGGTCGCTCACTTGTAAAGGGCTGCATCCACCGCTGCTTAATCTGTCTGCGATGGCGGGCGGCCTCGCCGCAGCCGCTCATGGGGGACCTGCCGCCGCCCAGGGTGACCCCATCTCGCCCGTTTCTTAACACGGGCATCGACTATGCCGGTCCAGTATGGCTGCGGACGTCCAAAGGCCGAGGACACCACGCAGCCAAAGCGTTTATTACTGTCTTTATTTGTTTGAGTTCCAGAGCCGTTCATTTAGATGTAGCGTCGGACTACTCCGCGGAGGCGTTCCTGGCCGCCCTACGCCGATTCGTCGCCCGCCGAGGCCTGTGTCGTGCGCTTTATAGCGATTGCGGGACGAACTTCGTCGGAGCCGACGCTCAGCTGAAAGCTTTGTTCTCCGCTAGCGACCAGGAAGGCCGACGAATCGCAGCACGCGTCGCAGAGGAAAGCATACAGTGGCATTTCAACCCTCCGGCGGCGCCTAACTTCGGCGGAATTTGGGAGGCCGCCGTGAAATCAATGAAGTTGCACTTGAGGCGGGTCATAGGCGAAACGAAACTAACGTACGAGGAGATGGCCACCGTCCTTGCGCAAGTCGAAGCGTGCTTGAACTCACGCCCGCTCCAAGCCCTATCAGATGACCCGGAGGACTTAGCCGCGCTGAAGCCGGGCCACTTCCTCATCGGCTCAGCACTCAAAGCAGTACCCGAGCCGTCTCTAGCCGAGGAGTCAACGAGCCGTCTCTCCCGGTGGCAGCTGCTGCAAAGAATTCGGGATCAATTCTGGGACCGGTGGTCAAAGGAATATCTCCACACGCTGGCGCACCGGCCAAAATGGGTCAAAGCTAGCGAGGAAATTCAGGTCGGCCGATTGTGCCTCCTGAGGAGCGAAACGACCCCACCGACGAAATGGCCTCTAGCGAGAGTCGAGGAGCTGCACCCCGGGGGAGACGGCCACGTCCGCGTAGTCTCCGTTCGAACGACTACCTCGCGCTTTACCCGGCCCGTGAGTAAGCTCGTTCTCCTCCCCGTGAGCGCCGCGTCTGATGACGTCCGCTAAGTACATTCCCGGTACATATTAACGGTCAAATTTAATTTTTCCTTAATAATTTTCGTTGCTTTGTACAAAATATTGCCTTGTAAAATTATCGTTAATATTGTGCTCAGTGTGAGCTCGCCGATAGCGAGAAGCGTAAAGTCTAAACGTACATAATATCCCCGCGCCTGTGTTGCGAGACGTACTTGCGTTCCATCGCGTTCTATTCGGCCAAGCGCGTCCACGTTCTCGGCGCGTGTTCGGTGGCGACGTTACCACAGTATCATTCGTAGGTTGCACCATACGAGGCGGGCGGAATGTTCGCGATCGAACAAAAACCAGCGTCGGCGAATCTACACCACGAA